GGTTAGGGCTTTGGGTTTAGGGTGTAGGGTTTAGGGTTACCGGGTTAGAGCTTTGCGTTGAGGGTTTAGGGTTTAGGGTTTAGGGTTTAAGGTTAGGGCTTTGGGTTTGGGCTTAGGGTTTAGGGTTTAAGGTTGGAGCTTAGGATTTAGGGTTTGGGTTTAGGGCTTAAGGTTAGGGCTTTGGGTTTAGGGTTTAGGGTTTAAGGCTAGAGCTTTGGGTTTAGGGCCTATGAGTTAGGGTTTCAGGTTAGGGCTTTGGGGTTTAGGGTTTAGGATTTAAGGTTAGGGCTTTGGGTTTGGGGTTTAGGGCTTAGGGTTTAAGGTTAGGGTCTAGGGTTTAGGGTGTAGACCTCCATCAGGGTTTAGGGCCTAGGCTTAAGGTTATATACGGGCCTTATTTAATAAGTATGTAGAGTTGGATTTTGGGGTCCATACTGTATTGTATATTTAAATGTTATTATAATCAGGTAAGTTCAGGGTTGTGAAATGTTGCTTGGGCTGACTGCCTGCTTCATGCAGCTTTGGAGTGCGGCATTTTGAGGAGGTGCAGTCTAGAATTCAGTCACCTTGGACCTGTCACCGGGCCACCTTTCGGTGGCCCAAACGAAAGCGATACAAAATCGGAAATCTAGCAGTGCTGCACACGCAGCTGGACTTCAAACAACGTGCAAAACCTCGGCTTGCACAAGCTCTGGAGGGAAATGCACGAGCCAAAAAAGACGCGCAGAGAAAGTTCCATGGTAAAGTCCTTACATCATGCCCACATCAGAACTCATCAAAACTCAGCCACCGACCGCCTCTACACCGACCACGATGCTCACGGCGCCAAACGCAATCTCGGCTGGAGGCTACATGCGGCATAGGACCAAAGTTGATGCACGGCGGCCCACGCTCTCACACTGCGACCGAGCTTCCAGGAAGCATGCGTAGGCCTGGGTGCAAGCAACCAACTATTGCAGGCCGGAGATGGGCCCAGAGAAAGAAGCGAATCTCCAATCCAGACCCAAAATCACGATTCACCAAAGTCATCTGCACTCAGAAGCCCTTGCACGAAACTGGTCAGCGGACCTGTCCGTGGCACGGTCGTACATACATATCTGCTGAATCAAAACACTGAGAAAGGCAAGGGTGCCCCTCAACGTTCGAAAACGACAACTTTCAAGTACCAACCATGGAACCGTGGTGAACCGTGATGTGATATTGAGTCCGGAGAGAGCTGAAAGACTCACGTAGCGTTGCAGTAGGAACCAGAAGAAGAGGAAGTAGTACTTTAGTCTCTAGAGCGAGAAACGATTCCGCAGGTTATTTCAGAAAGCTCATACAAGGCAAGACGAGTCCACAACGAAATTCGACCCTCCACGGCCCACGGGAACACCTACATCCCGAGAATCCCCTCCACCAGCTTTTGGAAAGGCACGGCAAGAGCACGGTTGCGAGGAAGACGTGCTTTGCTATTGCAAAGTGGCTGTTCCAGGTCAGACTTGCCTGGGACTCGCATTTGCGGCTTCTCGGGTTTGGGGATTTGAGGCTTAATGGGTTTAGGGCTTGGGGTTTAGGGTTTTTTGTTTTGGGGCTCAGGGTTTCGGGTTCGGGTTGAAGGTCTAACGCCCAGAGTTTAATGTAAGGGGGCTTAGTAATTAGACTAGGGTTCTTGGGAGTATTGTATACTCTACTTTACAGTAAGGACCCCC